TTACTTGTTTGTGCGGTGTACTTTGTCAAAACTTTTGCTTGGATGAAGAGCCTTGTTAAATAGAATTCCGGCAAGAAAAAAAACAGAATTTGGGAGACTTTCACATTCCCACAAGAATAAACGGTTGTTTATGTATTCATCCCACCGTGGCACGCAAAAGTGCTTTTGTGTTTAAAAACAAACTGAATCGGGCTTTGACGCAAATACACCTGAGGACGATCATGAAATTTTCGTAAACTTGAACGTCACGACGTCCACCCTGGGGGGTGCCAGAGATTTTCAAATAAGAAGGCGTAAACACAACCAAGTCCAAAACAATTTTTGAATGATATTTTCAATTATTGAAATATGTTGTTATTGCGATTTGCTGAATAAAAAAACGCCCACTGTCTTTTCAAATTTCGGCTGTGCAGATTACTTGTGGAAGTATTCCGTTTTCCTTATTTGGTGCAAATGATAGTTGGAAAAGTCCGTTGAGTTGCATCCCCCAATTCGCCTGAGACCAGTGCCACAGGTCTATCAGGTGATCGATCAGTTTTTTCGAAATTGTCATCGTTAGCCTCTTCTAGCTTGTAGCAATTTCCAGATCATAAAACCCTATCTGACAGCCTCATAACCGCAAAGGACATTCTGATGCTCTGACTGTGTGAAGGGTGAAGTGTTTTTCGCGAACTACATTCATTTGCAAATCAATTTGGTTTTTGCTGGAGACTCGCCTGAATCTCTGGTTTATGATATTCTACAACGGAATGTGTTGCACATAGGCCGGTTCATGTTTCAGTTGGGGCGATATTCGAGATATCGCAGTATATATTTTCATAAAGGAAACCACTTACAACGTTGCTGAAAACTCTCCGACAGCCCACGACCAGTTTCGCCCTTCTGTTTCGAGCTCATCAGGTGGGCGCAGCCCTCGAGTTTCCGTCAACCTTATGTTCTACTTGAATCCGAATTGGACTGTTTTCGAGAGATACACTCATTTTCAAATCAATTCGGTGAAACGTTTGCATTTGTCGACTGTTGTTGCGCGGCGAAAAATGGGCTGGCGGTTGAGGTGGCCCAAGAAGTTACATTTCGTAGGCCTGTTCAGTGATTCCTACCAAACCTATTTGCAAATTATATGTATGTCAGGATATAATGTTACTTTCAAATCAAGTTACTGATAACTGGGAGATCAACTGCGATTCAGCTGAACCTTTCGGTTATGACGTGATGTGTAAAGCTGGCGGATGTTTTGAAAATCGTTTCATCTGGAACACGAAACTGCTAAGTTTCCCGTCAACGTTTGTTGTAACAAAATAATGTTGATGAAGATCCTGTCTAGGACTTGACCAATGAGCCCCAAGAAGTGTTATATCTGCTGATTCACCGACCTGTGGTATCTGCTGCTAACCCGCTCCAGTGCCTAGTGCCGGCGAAGGGAACACAACAACAGAAGGGAACACAGCCGCTACAATCCGAGCAAGCGAGTGCGAGAGCAAAAGTTACAACGGCCACACGCTGTTTAAAGGAGACTTTCTGACATTGATCCAGGCTGTCTGATAGGCGTTTAGTGAACACCCATCAACATCGATCGGGCCTCTATGAAATACCTGAACGCTGATCACATTCGGTCGCGCTTCTGTGGCGTGCATGAACACTCATCAGGTTTTGCTGAATTGATTGATTGATTGACTGGCCTGGATGCTTGCCGGTTTCCTACTGAGATTTTGGTGGAGCAGTATGTTTCGGGTGTTCTGAGGTTAGTTTCAGGAATCTGACCTTCCTGATAAGAAGAGACTAACAGGTGGTAGGCTGTCTAGACTTTAGATCACCCGTCAGAATAGTTGAAATATATTTCGACAGCTTGACTATCTCTCCAGCTTGAGACAACTTTGAAGAAGCAAATTTATTTGAAGGGCACATTAATCGATGAATTCAGGTAGATTTCAAATAAGTCCCGGTAAAGCCCACATCAATTTACACATGACTGTTTATCACCACATACAAAATACAAAGTATTTTAGACGTGTTTACGGTTGGATGCAGGGCCGATGTTGAATAGTGATCACTTGTGTGTAAATCTTGGCTATGATAATTGAGGAAAGCCTTGGAGCAGAGAGTTGTCATTTCCAGGTTAGTAATACTCTATATAGAGCTTCTAGAATCCCAAGAAAACCGCATAGGCTGCCGCAATTGCAAAAGATGACAAACTAACCACACCTTTGGTTAGCCCCAGTGTAACGGGTCTGGAAATTTCTTGAGATTCGTTACAAGCCCATTAAGACATGCACTTATTTCAGGTGATGAGAACAAAGAGGTCACTGTACACATAAAGATTAAAATACGAAAACGGTGAAAAAATCATATTCGGTTCTGGCGAAGATCATGTCCGGTTCTTAGCCTCAGAGTAAGCTGATGGCTTGGAACAGAGTTAGTTCTGGTTAATCAACTTCGCTTCACTAAACACTAAAACGTTTGGGTAGTAGATTGCTGGGCGCGCCTACGGCCAGTGGTTATAATACGTTGCGGTTGATGAAGCAAGTTCCCCAGAGTCAAACTACAGATGAACACTCAGCTGGTCGATCAGTTGACGTGGCTGGGGAAAGTTCGTAGACCTATTCACACGTGTTTCAATCTGCTTGACTGCCACCGTGTTGTACATCCCCCTTTCGAATACTTTTGCCTTTCGCTGACAGAAGGAAGGATTATCCAAGTGGTTTGATATACACGGCCGGTTGGATCCGATAACTGATATCTACCGGGAGGGAACCGCTTTCTCACTACCAAAACTCTTGAAGTGACAGAAAAGAGTTCCAAGTACACAAACTAATATCCGACGCCCATCATGGACAATTTTCTTGTCTATCCAGAAGTTGTAGCCCAAACGCAAGAAGTCCAGAAGGATGTGTGCGCATTCACTGAGGATGAATTTTTTTTCATCTTGAGAGCAAAACTTTAGCTGCGTCAACCGGCCCTACCAAACACACACGGCATTGTTGGTAGTGTGAGGAGATTTGGGATTATTTTGTGGTGATTCGTCCTGCAAAGTGAAGCCAATCTATGCTGCACGGGTGGCTGATCAGCAGTGTGATTAACTCGCACTTATACTGGATATAGCGCCGCTCATCCTTCAATCACGGGATCCACATCACGCGGTCACACGTGTTGACTGGCTCTTGGAGCAACGACTTCTCAGATAGAAGTTCCTCTCATCGGGTGAAGTTTATTCTTCCAATGAGCTACTTATATATTGTTGGTAATGTGAGGGGGTTTGGGATTTTTGTGGAGATTTCGTCCCGTAGTCTTTGCTCCAAGAGCCAGTCAACACGTGTGACCGCGTGATGTGGATCCCGTGATTGAAGGATGAGCGGCGCTATATCCTGTCTAATTGCGAGTTAATCACACTGCTGATCAGCCACTCGTGGCCGAACGGTTAGGTGTTCAAACTACTAGCCAGGAGGTCGCGGGTTCGAAACTCTTCGGAGTTTCGTGAGATGCACACTGCTGATGATTCCCAATGAGGATGAAACAGCTGTACAGTGTTTCTCGGCTTTTCAGCATAGATTGGTTCCACTTGCTGGAGGAAATCTCCACAAAAACACACGGCACTGTCTCAGAACTGCGCATGTCGCATGCCTCAACCTTATGAGGCTGACTGGATTGAGATGCGTCGGCTGTCAAAATCAAATTCGTGAGAAAATGAGAGCATTGTTCTTTAAGAAACAATCCGTGTTTTCCGCCATCTTAGTCACTGGAAACTGGCGCAATCGCCTGTAGTGAAAGGCAGACAGAACTTTTGGAGAGAGGGCCTGCTACCAGGTTTACTGTTTTCCACGAAAACCCTCGGTTCTTCCCGTCTTTCCAGAAATCGATATCATCATTATACATCGGGACCAGAAACCCTGGAATGGCACTTCAAAAATGGAGTCATACGTGCTTCTGCATTAATTAGACATGGTGACCGGTGCTTTCCCATTCTAATTTCAGGTAATTCGGTAAAATGATGTGTTGTTCATCATTTTTTCGAGTGACTTTGAGCGTCGTTTAACGGTGAATGTTAGTCGCTGGCCAGAATCCTCCCCTGTGAAAGTGAAGAGAAAATACAGGTGAAACCAAAACATCGGGATTCGGAAGCTTGTCACCTGAACGTTTGGATTGCGGGGGACAGGAAAGTGACAAAACCGCGAAGGAAAACGAACTAACTGGTTCGAAGGCGTGTTCATCGTAACACAAAACGAGCGACGTTTCATCATCCTGTGGTCCTTACTTTAGGCAGACAGATGGATTTGGTCATCCAATTATTTGGACTACAATCAGCACGCCAGCTTCATCACCCTACGGCGGATAGTTCCATTTCCGCCAAGGATAGGAGGGCCAGGATTGTCTTGAAAAGAGGTAGCTTTATCTGTGGTTCGTTTAAAAGAAGCCGGTTGGCTGTCAGTTGATCCAGCTGGTATCCTTCGAACGGCTTTGTTTTATGTGGCAAACTCTCAATGCAAACGGCAGTGCAACCGTCAGCGCACTCTGTGAGTATTGCATGTCCTTATTTCGCTCGCTTCCCAACACTTCCCAGTAAAACTGGATTCACCTGTGAAAAATAGCGATTTACTACTTTTCCATTTCTCGCGTTCCCCCTATTGCTCGATTTCCACTTGTTTAAAATGTTTTGGGCATAGCTTCACAAATTCCTACTGTACCCTATAAAATTTTGTACAGAGGAAAATAGTGAGAGTAGCCTGGAAACATCACAAACGGGAGATTTAGCTGGGTTCCGGGTGAGTCTCTCGCAAAACCAAATTAGTTTGCAAATGAGTGTATTTCGCTAATTTCGTGCAATTTGGTTTCAAGTAGAACATAAGGTTGACGGAAACTCGGGGACTGTGTCTATGGGGACTGTGATGAGCCCCAATAAGCGCAAAATCAGTAGTGGGCTTTCGACGAATTTTCAGCAACCTTATGAGTAGTGCATTACAAATATACATGTATCGCGATATCTCAAATATCGTAGCGACTGCAACATGAGGCGGCCTGGTGCAGCACATTCAGTTACCTGGAAACATTACAAACGGAAGCTTCAGCTGAGTTCCAGTGAGTCTCTCGAAAAACGAAATAAGTTTGCAAATGAGTGTATTTCGCTAAAACAGTGAAAGGTTTTGAAACTGTCTTATGTATAGTCATTCCCCAAAAAGTGATATACCGAGAGAGCAATGACATATTTCCAGTTTCCCAGTTCATCAAGGCGTAAATCTCAAGAACAGTCGGCTGTCGTTTTTTCCACCCTGACTATCTGTCAAAGTGAAACGAACGTAGTGTGGCACCCAAATTTCCGCATCAACCTGTAATTTGGTTTGGGCTGAGAGGAAGGATTCTCAAAACACGTTCGCGGATTGAGGGACAAACAAATGCGTTCGCACTACTTGTATAAAGCTTATCCATATTAGATTGAGTCTTGCAGGTTTGGACCGCCGTGGCTGTCTTCACTAGAGGATGGGGCGCAGTTAACTCAGGCAGATGCTAAAGGCTGACTAGTTACGACTAACTTGGCCTATCTAGCAAAACTCGAGTCAGAAACACCAGCATGAAAGATGTAAACTGAACTCAGTCGAATAGTTCAAATAGGTAACTGGGTATGCTTATTCTTCATTGAAAAAATGGCGGTGTTTCGTTACTCTTCAGGCCCTGTTGCTCTCATTTAAGCTGTCTTCAATATGGCTTGTCTGTCCACAAATTTCTGTTAATACTACTCGCGTCTGAAAGGTTTTTCTGTCGTTTTGATAGAGTTATTCTGATGAACTTACACTACTGACTGAAGCGCATCAGCCGAGTTTCGCTCCCGTTAGAGCTCATCAACGGTGCGTATCTTTGGCCGTGTCTGAAGAGTATGTTGCGGATAGGAATGAGAACATAGCCACCTTGGTTAGTGGCTGGTTCATACTCATACACCGCGGTCCTGCACCAGCACAACGGAATTCGTAGCAAAATCGGAATCCGCTTGGTGCCACCTTGACTAAACTTCCTGAGACTGATGTGCTTCCCCCTATTTGGGAAATGTAGCCACTTGTTCATGGACACTCTGTTCCCAACAGCTTTTCTGTACGAAAAGCAAGATAGATGGTTAAATTTGTGGCGCTGTTGTGTTCAAGATGCCAGTGTTTGGACTTTGAGTACACGAAAGCCTGACTACGCGGAGACTGTGGCTCAGTGTAGCTGAGTTGGTGTTTCCTAAAATAACTCCAACAAGATTAGCTGCACCAACGCATCTACAACTAAAAGTGCTTGCTAAATTGTCGGTCGCAGACTTCTAGAAACCACCCTGGTTACCCCCTCCTAATCGTTATCTGCTTCTTTGCCATGTATGGTACTGAAAGTTATTCGTTTTGTAGTTGATTTCAATAATCATGGATAGAAAGATGATACCCAGAAGCTATAGAATAAACCTAAGAGCTACCGGACGGTGTGGTGGACACTCCAGTATCTCAACATAGGCCAACGGGCTTGTGAGTAGTCTATAACATGATGAAGTGATTTTCGTTTAGGCTTGTAAACTTGTCCGAAACCATACAGAAACTTTCGGAGCTCTTGAGTTGGTCGTCCGTTGACATTGCGCGTCCGTTTTCAGTCTGCTTGAGACCTTGTAAATACATTCAGACAGAGCACGTCCCAGTCAGGGGACTATTTTCACGTGATGTACGTTTTTGTAGTACCTCGCTGCTTAGTCTGTCGTATAGCTCGGAAGCAGCCAACCGGGAGAGATGTTGCCAGTGCTCCGCCTGAACTATTACGATTCGTCGATACCTCAAATTGATTTCGTTCCCATCAGAAATGCTCTGGACGGTTGTTTGTAGACCCAAACTGTACGTGCCAAACGAAATCACACTGTTCGGCCACCTTCTAAGTGTTTGTATTCCCTAGTTACTCAGGGGCCAAAAGGTATTCCACAACGCCCAACACTGACCGAGATAACCTGCAATGTGGTGGATAAAGACGCTTCATCTGAGCTGTCGACCTCCATATGCTCCATCCGTCCTAGCTATGCCACGTAGCATAACTCGATGGTGATGAAATGTGCCCCCAGATCGGTGAGATCACTGGCTTGTAGAATCACCAGCCCTGCCACTTGAGTTCCCACCCCCTCGTTTGATTTGTTTTTGACCACCATATTTTGTTCCAACGTTGGAAAGCCACTATGTTGGTGTTCGTTGAGTGATTACACGGTCACTCTTCGAACTCACCGTTGACGTTTGCGTAATACTCTAAGTGCTTATGAAAAACATTTATAAGATAGTGACCATCAGGTTGAACAAACGTATGTATGGTCAACAGTTCTATCATGAACCCCGTTTGTTTGACTCATGTGAACCCGGGATGTTAGTTCGGGTTCAAGCTAACACCTTCGCCACATGAGTCACTCCAGTATTCACTACTTCCCTGTACCTCATTTCTCACGCAGATATAATTACGTCACCTTAATCTACATTTTACTTGTCTCTCGCTGGAAGTCCTTGCGGTCAGGACGTGAAACACTACTCATACGTTTGCTGAAACATCGACACCCATGACCAGTTTGCCATTCTTGGAAATTGCCAGGTAGACGCAACCCCAGAGTTTCCGTCAACACTTTGTTCCAGTTGAACCCAAATTGGACAGATTTTGACAGAGGCATTCATTTGCACATCAATTCGGTTTTGAGGTTAGACTCACCTTAAACCCAACCGTAGAAGAGTTTTCAGCAACCTTATGAGTAGTGTATCACGTTTGTGAAAAGTATTCTGATATCTCGAATATTGCAGCAAATAAAACATGGGGCGGGCTGGTGCAGCACATTCAATTACTCGAGAACACCATAAACCCGAGATTCAGCTGGGCTCCCTGTGGTCTCTTTGAAACTATGATAGGTATTTTGCGGATGAGTCTTGATTATTGACAAGGTAACCTGTGTTCTACTTGCTGCCTCGCATGCAGTCACATTATACCCCACCGAATGCTCTTCTTCCGAATTGCCTAAACCCAGAACATTCTGTAGGTTGAAGATGTTAATAGATCTGCGTCATCAGATGCCCTTCTCATGGCGAGGGGTAAAAAGATCGGCCGGTCACGGGTTCGATCTGGGATGACGCAAAATGATGTCGAACGATGCACGCAAGCAGCTGTCAACAATGTGCGAACAGCTGTCAGATGTCCTACAAAGATAATTAAAAGACGTTGGTGAACGCACTACATGCGCTGTGAGCCGAATGGCTGCTCAAATCCCCATTGAAAGCGATAAAAAAGGAAGGAGAAAACATATCGAGATCAGATAAACACGTCAGAGGTTTGGAGCATTTCGCCTACTTGAAAGAGAGTTGGACATTCCAAATCCAAAAAAGTTCAAGTCTTTTTACATCTCTAATTGATGCTTGCATCTGAAGCGGTGAGGGAAAATGTTGCCAAAACAGGTAATGCAGGTTAGCGTGTCACAAGTGATGAGCTCTATTTTCATACATTTAGGACCTTAACGGCATGGCACATCGCAAGTCAAACAGCTCCGCAGAAGTGGAGGAATGCGCGCCTCAGGTATTTCAAACGTTATATGAAGAAAGTTCATAAGTGAGCAACCGAGCAAGTGATGAGTGAGTTCGGAACGTAGCTAGTCAGAACACCAACGGACCAGAGAATGCTCTAGCTCGCGATTTTATGCATTTTCTGAGTCTGAGTTTTGTCAAGTGAGTCATGAGATCTGCAACAAGCAACTGGTATCCGCGGAACGGCAATGCGCTTCGTTTTTGGGTTGAGACAGCGAAATGAGCCAATTAGTACTGGAAACTAAACTACTCATAAGGTTGCTGAAAACTCTTCGACAACCCATGACCGGTTTCGCCCTTCTGTTTCGAGCTCATCAGGTAGGCGCATTCCCTGAGTTTCCATCAACCTTATGATCTACTTGAACCCAAACTACACTGTTTTCGATAACTACACTTATTTGCAAATCAGCTTGGTTACAGACTGCCTCTTATTAACAAGCCATGTACCATCTATCGGCTTGATTTTGTCCAGTCAAGATTTCTGGCCTACGTGGCGTGTAAATAATGACCTGCGATAAAGGATCCAGCTGATCTGGTGATTGCGGTAGACAAAGTCGCACGCATAGACACACCCGGACCCTGAGATAGGCGCGGGCTTGTTATCCAGGAATTTCCTAGTGTGGCCAACATTCGTTAACGCTAAGCTTTGGAAGTGGTTGGACCCAGTCAATAGGTTAGACAGTAAGCCGAGTGCATTGAAGACTATGAGGTTGTGCATGGTTATGCACTGCATTATTGCATTTTATATAAGTAGTATGGAACCTTCGCACCAGGTCCACGGACCGGATGTGTCCAGAAGTCAAGAAAAATCTTCGTATGGAAGGGGACTCGGAGTAGTTTGGATGTTTTCGACAAATACACTCATTTGCATATCAATTCATTTCCGCCAGAGACTCCCTCGTTTATGATGTGCCGAATAAAACATGAGGCGGCTTTTGTGCAGTACATTCAGTTGAAGAATACCATAAACAGGAGATTCAGCTGAGTCTATAGCAAAAATTGAATTGATATGCAAATGAGTGTATTTGTCGAAATCAGTCCAATTTGAGTTCAAGTATACCACAAGGTTTAACGAAAACTCAGGTACTGCGCCCACCTGATTGGCCCCAAGAAGGGCAAAACTGGTCGTGGGCTGTTGAAGAGTTTTCAGCAAATTTGTAAGTAGTTTCTTTTGTCATAATCTGGATTTTTTTTCTCGCTTGTGCTAATGTCAACCCCACATCCGTCTGTCTGCATATGTTAGAACATAACTCAATTCAAATTGCGCAGAGCGTGACTCGGTGGTGTGAAGATGATCCTGTGACCGAATCAAATCAGGACGGAATTTAGTGTCAATTCCCCAAGTAGCGAAAGTGTGGGGTGAATTCATAACGTAAGTAGCCTCACCTATGCTGTCCAAGCTGGGCCGAAGAATATGTAAATAATAGGCAAAAGGTTCACAGTGGAAATGTTTAGCTGAAATTCCAAGATGGGTCGCTTTGGGCCAAACAAATTGCTGTCAACCGATAGGAGACTCTCTACGAGTATTCGCCTGTAAACAATGTGGCGTATATTTTTAATCTGGCCGGAAACCTGCTTGCCTACAAATTTCTAAAACCAAAAGTCCGAAAGACTAAATCAGGGTGCCGTAAAACTGACTTATAGAACAGGTTGAATGAACCGGTGGTATAACGACAAGGATATGGTATTTTACGGCAGATCGATGACGAGTATGATGAGTGCTAGCAGAGCGAGATTTTTCTGGTACAGGCATAAGGGTTGGGCTTGAAGAGCGCTTGTCATGGATTCAAATGCGGACTTGTGGAGAAAAGAGTAGCCCTGGAAACGAACGCTCAATTGGTCATAGGGTGCTTTGATTGGCAAATATTCCTCCTTTTGTCGGTATTCCTTCTCTCACAGCCACCGATAGTTTGTGCATATCGGCTGTGTGAGGACTCTGTTTTCGGTTATTTCTTGAATGATCTCATTTGTTTGGCGGTATACCTTTCCCGGTGTGTGTGTGTGTGTGTGTGTGTGTGTGTGAATGCTCTCCTGAACGATCGACCCAACTTCTAGGTCTTCAAGACACAGCCGGGAGTTTCTACATCGCCCTCGATAACTATTCATTACTAATTGCGACCGGTAGCAAACAAAAGCTAGGTTACTTTAATTTGCAAAAGCCCTGAACACTATTAAAAAACTGCACTCTCGTGTTATTAGAACAAATCCATCGTGGATAAATTCACGCTTGACGGAACTTAATTTTCTAACGCGATGAGACGTTGTCAATAAAATCCACATGGTCCGTCTAACTGCGCTGAAGCTGCAAGCTTGTCAGGATTATTATTTCTCGAGCGGAATAATACAATCTGACAAATTACCTAAGCCTCTGATTATAGCTAAGAAAAGTCACCTCTGTATTGAGTAGAACAAATCTGCAACATTCCGGCAAAAAAGTGCCATCCATTGCGGTGAAGGTAGAACGGAAATAGTTCCATCTTATTAGCAGAGAGGCAGCCTAAAATGCCCTCAGACGCCGATAAATTCTAATCACTAAAATACATGCATCCGAGCTGTTCCACAGAAACCAGTGGGTAGATTTGAGTCAGGTTAGGTATGCTTGTTTAAAAGCCCACAAACGCACCTCATATGAGTATGTATTACACTCCGTTCTCCCACTTCGATTATTTTAGACGCTGCGGGAAACCTAGAATGCAAAGCAGTTGTAGTCCAATGTGAGTTGACATCAGCGAATCAGTTAACAAAAGGCTGAGTACAGGTTGTGTCCAAGTATTCTCATTTATATTACGTTAGCCGATCGAAAGATTGTTTGAAAACATGGTCGAATATGGCTAAGCATTAATTACGATTCGTTTGATGACCGTTTAGCTCATCGTGCCCAAAGCAAGCTTCTAGATGATGATTAGTCAGAGTAGGAAATCTGTTCACAGATACATGAAAATCATTTCATGAAGGAGACTACTCATAAGGCTACTGAAAAGTGGCCGAGTAAGACCTTCTTGAAACCAATTAATTTAGTGCGTTTCCCGAGTTTCCGTAAAATTTACGTTTTGATTGAACTCAAGTTGAGCACCAAATTGGTTTTAAAGGCACACCTATCTGAATCCCATTTGAATCTCTCGTTTATTACACCATCCTTCAACTGAAGGTGTATCACGATGTCCTGCTAGGTTAAAATCTTTTTTCTACCTACCACAGAGTTACCAGCGTGAAAAGCCCGCGATTTTTTTATCACACCCAACCCAGTTTATACAGACATCACGCGCAGATGACTGTCTCGTGTTTTAGTTTCCATATACAGTAAAACTATCAACGGAAGGAGCTCACATCACGTCCTACGACCAAACTGAGCAAGTTTACGAACAATGCCCGCACCAACTGACCATTTTTTCGTCTTCGCGAGTGTTGTGTCTAATTGCTCAGTATTTATCAACACTAGACATGGCGCCCATACAGCCCATCATCTTTTCAGTCGTGCATGAGGACGCTAAACAAAAGACATGCATCGACGGGAGTCACGGGTTCTCGTTCATCTCGTTCGTCTCCTCTCGGAAGACGAACTGTAAAATTCCCCATAAGGAAGAAAACTCTAGCTATTTTATCCAATAAGTGAGAAATTCACCCCTGAAAGAATATAACTTTCCCATATTGGTCTGGGTCGACTGTAACTTAAAAGATGGACAAGGTGGATGGAGCACCGCTGTCATCAGCTATCATTAACAGAGGCCAACTTAGCCAGACTAATAGTTTCTTTTAGTAAATCGACATTGATGAACACGTAACACTACTCGAATCTACTTAAACTAAATAATGGGACTTATAAACACGTTAACTCTTTATTTGCAGACCTGTTAAATTTCAAAGGGCTTTCAAATTTCATGCAGTTGATGTTGACTTTACTTCTTGCTAGTGAGTACTGATCAAGTACACAGACTACTTTTTCGATTCAGACGAGAGTTTTAGGACGAGAACTTACGGACACCTGGCGTGGATGCAGGTCTATGGACTGAACTGATTCTGGTGGGGAGTGCTGAATCTAACTTAACACTATGATAATTCCCCCATTCATTTGCTTACTCCGCCTATGTACTTTTGATCTCCAGTTGTCTTGCTCATTCGTATCCGCCACTCACCTTGCTGAAGAG